CTCGAAAGAGAAAACAAACACATCAATCATAAAACATATGATCTTCGCCTTAACAAGGCAAAACTCAAAAATTCAGCCGAGCCTGGCTGTGGGATTTGAACCGCGGACCTCGGTGTGCAGCCAACTAGAAGTTGCCGTCTCTACGTTCAGAGCCATTAACCCGTCTTCCTAAAGCAGCACTAAAACAAGTGTATGCATTGGAAGCAATGTAGTTGTTGTGGACAAAAAATCCATCACTACAAAAAACAAAACTTTGCTGTGAAAAAGATCTGCCAATAGAACTTGAGTCGAACCTGGAGAGTTTCTAGTGTATAATTCACATATGCTAATTTGCAATAAGTTCGAAATATATACTACTTTCCAGAGAACGGCCCTTGTAAGCCATCATCCACACCAAATATGCCTGATGAGCCGCTTAACCAACGGCGAAACGCGTCGCATAGTGGTGAGTGTGTGATAGTGTCTATCTGGCTTTCCTTTTCACTGCAAATTCCTGATCATTAAGCTCGTCTCGAAAGAGAAAACAAACACATCAATCATAAAACATATGATCTTCGCCTTAACAAGGCAAAACTCAAAAATTCAGCCGAGCCTGGCTGTGGGATTTGAACCGCGGACCTCGGTGTGCAGCCAACTAGAAGTTGCCGTCTCTACGTTCAGAGCCATTAACCCGTCTTCCTAAAGCAGCACTAAAACAAGTGTATGCATTGGAAGCAATGTAGTTGTTGTGGACAAAAAATCCATCACTACAAAAAACAAAACTTTGCTGTGAAAAAGATCTGCCAATAGAACTTGAGTCGAACCTGGAGAGTTTCTAGTGTATAATTCACATATGCTAATTTGCAATAAGTTCGAAATATATACTACTTTCCAGAGAACGGCCCTTGTAAGCCATCATCCACACCAAATATGCCTGATGAGCCGCTTAACCAACGGCGAAACGCGTCGCATAGTGGTGAGTGTGTGATAGTGTCTATCTGGCTTTCCTTTTCACTGCAAATTCCTGATCATTAAGCTCGTCTCGAAAGAGAAAACAAACACATCAATCATAAAACATATGATCTTCGCCTTAACAAGGCAAAACTCAAAAATTCAGCCGAGCCTGGCTGTGGGATTTGAACCGCGGACCTCGGTGTGCAGCCAACTAGAAGTTGCCGTCTCTACGTTCAGAGCCATTAACCCGTCTTCCTAAAGCAGCACTAAAACAAGTGTATGCATTGGAAGCAATGTAGTTGTTGTGGACAAAAAATCCATCACTACAAAAAACAAAACTTTGCTGTGAAAAAGATCTGCCAATAGAACTTGAGTCGAACCTGGAGAGTTTCTAGTGTATAATTCACATATGCTAATTTGCAATAAGTTCGAAATATATACTACTTTCCAGAGAACGGCCCTTGTAAGCCATCATCCACACCAAATATGCCTGATGAGCCGCTTAACCAACGGCGAAACGCGTCGCATAGTGGTGAGTGTGTGATAGTGTCTATCTGGCTTTCCTTTTCACTGCAAATTCCTGATCATTAAGCTCGTCTCGAAAGAGAAAACAAACACATCAAATTATATTTGATTAGAGCTCCAAAGGCCGACAAGCCAAAATATTTTTTTCTCCTAATATAGAGGAGAAAACATGCTCTTTAGTCAATGTGGACATGGAACTTTTCATAACTTGTCTTTTTAATTGTTTTTTTGTCGGAAAATTATCAACTTTACATTAAAACAAGTTAGCAAAGACTATAGCCGCGCGGGGCCGACCATGTGATACCCTACAACACTACAATATGTTAAAAGCCCCTTTATGTCCAAATCCATTTTGGAAGATTTCGATTTTGAAATTATGTTACGGAGCACGGTCCAGATATTACCCTTAGCATTATGAACAGGGACATTTGCCCAATATATACGCACTCCGTCGTGCTGTTAGTTGTTTTGGTCCATTTTATAACTAAATATAATCCAATGGTCATGCAAAATGCTAGAATTTTTCCCTGTTCTTAACGCTCTTCTCAGGCGAGTCGAATGGCTTCAATTGTGTGATCAGGATTTTTTTTTCGTTTTTGGTCCATGGTCCAAATATATTGCGGACATCTTTAAAAACAATAGGCCTAGCCCTTTTGTGCCTTACCCTACCCTTGTGAAAATTGTCGTGAGGGTCGGACGATAATTGCAGAATGTATATAATAAGCCCAACCTGGGTTAAAAGGTGAAAAAATATTACAAAATATACATTTCAAAACTAAGTTAAATTAAAACAAGTAAGCAAAGGCTACAGTCGAGCGGGGCCGACCGTTGAATTCCCTACAACACTATAATAAACGATACAGTTTATATAGGCGAGATACTCGAACGAACTCCACAAGATATTTGTGACAAATAATAAAAGGAAACTATCAGGTTTCGTTCTCTAATTTTCGAATAATAGCAACTTAAACTAATTTGCTCATTTCCAATTTATTGGTAGATGTTGCACTTAAATGGTCTTCCTAGATCTGGAACCAATATTTCCCAAAGACCTATAATCTCTCAGAAGTGGCAAAAGATTAACATTTATTATTAGTTTTTGACTGAAACGCATCTATATGAGATACAGACATTTGACTATATTCTTCAACGAAATCAGCATTAATGAAATAGTCAGAAGTGCGTCTTTCCTGTATTTGTGAATTCTCCAAAAAGTCTCTGGAATGGACATTTCCGTATTTTGTCTACAAAAGTTGGCAAACTATTTCACACATTGAATATTTTTGGATGGTCATCCAAAACTGCTTGGCTTTTGCAATGTCCGGTAAGCCCTATTCAAATGTGCGTGAGGATTGGGCGATAATTACGACCTGCTGACAATTTTGCAGTTTTTTGGTCCATTTCAACCCCTAAATATATGGCGATCATCTCCAAAAAGAGTAGGCTTCAATTCTGACCCTCATCTTATCTCCATGCAAAATTTCATAAGGATCGGTCCATAAATGCGATCTGTATATGATATCCTGATATCTCAACTACTTAGTTTTGTTAGCTGTAGAAATTTTACCAAATATTTAATTCAAAATGAAAATATGACAAAAATATGACAAAATTGAAAAAATATGAGAAAATTGTAGAAAATCAATATTTTCATCTTTAGAGAGATATTTTTATGCGATTTTTTAGACGTTTTTTCTTTCCTGCCAAGAGGCCATTCTGAATTAATGAGAACAGTCGAAATCAGTTTAGCCGTTCTCGACATATAAGAGATCTTTCAAGCATATCTTCTTTGATAGACATATATATCCCACATATTTTGCTATATATCCGATTTGTTGGATGTTAACATCAATGTAAAGGTCAGAAGTAACCTTGTCATGACTTTGTGATTTCGCCGGGATTTAAAATATTCGCGGTTCAATGAAAAATGTTGAATTTTTTCAACACAAAATATATGGTCTATTTTACCCGCTAAATATTATCCGATGATCACCCTAATTGGTAGGCCTCTTCCCCGACCTAAACTCTAGCTACATACGAAATTCCGCGTCGATTGGTCTATAATTGCGACCTGTATAGCTACTGCAAAATCCGATATTTTCTCAGTATTTGGTCCATTTCAACCCCTAAACATTTGGCGACCATCTCCAAAAGAAATAGGCTTTTATTCTGACCCTAACCCCACCTCCAGTTTAAATTTCGTGAAGATCGGACCATGATTGCGACCTGTAGAGTGATTACAAATTAACATGGACAGACGGACAGACGGACGGACGGACATACATAGCTAGATCGACTCAGCTCGGCGAGCTAGGAAGATCCATATATACTTTCCTATATGGGAAACCAATATTTCGAGGTGTTACATAAATTCTGGCCCAATCAAAACAACAAAATGTCGCAAAATACTAAAAAATCTATATTAACATCGATTTTTTTAGATTTTATTCTTTCATGCCATTCATGAGATATAAGCATTCTTCCTTACATTTCCTTCCTTCGTATACACACATTGTACATATTTCGCTATATATATCAAAAAAAAAAAAAAAAAAATAAAAAAAAAATAATAATAATAATAATATCGGCGTCTACGTAACGGTCAGAATTAACCTATTCGTCTATTTGTGATTTCGCCGATATTAAAAATATTCGCGGATTAATGGAAAATTTGACTTTTATTTAACACAGATGTTATGGTCTATTTCACCAACTAAATATTACCCGATGACCATAAAAATTGGAAGGCTTTTCCCCTGTCCTAAGCTCTAGACTCATGCTAACTTCCACGTCGATTGGTCCATAATTGCGACCTGTAGAGCAACTGTAAAATCAAGAATTTTCCAGTCTTTGATCCATTTCAACCCCTAAATATTATGCGATTATCTCTAAATAGGGTTCTATTCTGACCTTTACCCCACCTCCATTTTCAATTTCGTGAGGATCGTGCCATAATTGCGACCTGTAGAGTGATTACAAATTAATATGGACAGACGGACGGACGGACGGACATACATAGCTAGATCTACTCAGCTCGGCGAGATAGGGAAACCAATATTCCTATGTGGGAAACCAATATTTCGTGGTGTTACATAATTTTTGGCCCAATCAAACTTATAATACACCCAACACATAGTGTTGTAGGGTATAACTAAAAAAAATCAACAAAAATATCTTTTGAACCATGTTTCTATAATTTATCAAAAAAATCTTTTGTACCAAAAATAAGAATATAAGCAATCACAGATTGTTCAATAATCACAGACATTCGACCAGGAAAAATGATTCTGAACATCTGAGTGACTCACCTGATTATTTCTACCTTAAACTGGAATTTCAGATGATGTCTCTCTTTTCCTCTAAAATTATACATTGTTCCCTGTGACATTTTATGGCCCACTCATAGCAATTTCAATTCACTTGTTACATTCCAAACGGGAACAGAGAAATTTTTGAATTTTATTGAAATAAAATATTTTCAATGCCCTCGTAATACTTCTAAGACTTACACATTTTGATTTCGTTTTTTCGTATAATTTCAGATTTAGGCTCCAAATTTGGCATGTCACAGCCGAAATTTGGCCAAAGCGTTTCACAGCAAGGTTTCTTCACATCACACGATAGCCTCGCCACACCATGTGCATCAAGAGCTTCCAATTTACATGTGGCCAATACAAGCACTGCCTCCGATATGGATTTGTTACACAACAACAAACAACAGACCAGGCGAAAGTCACGCGGACGCCTGAAAGACAACGATCAGCCGCTGTTGGGTGGCACCTGGAATCGATCAGTGGGTCGCGGTTCACAGGATAACACACTGATGGGTAGCCATCAGTTTAGTGGGAATTTTTGTAATGGTACCGATCGGTAAGTATTTCATTGTATTTAACTTTATTTATTTTTTATTTTATTTGTTTTTGTATTTCATTCACCCTTTGGATAGAGATTTTTAGTTAATTAAAAGTTTGCTGGGGTATAAAATACAAACATTATGATTAAGCCCAGTAGTTCGGTCTCGGTAATTAATGTCCAACCCCCTGGCCATCTGGTGTTGAAGTTGTTCCGTTCCGTTTTGTTTTTTTTTTTTTTTTTCGCATGTTTACAAAAATCCTAAATAGCTCTGTCATTGTAGGCCAATGCCACACTGGCCACTTTGTCACAAAGTCAACAACGGCTACACCTTTCAATGTGCGAAATGATGAAAAATGAAAATTCTTTTGGTCCTCCCCAGAGTTGTTGGCTCATTTGGATGGTAATTTTACACTGACGAACGGACATTGTCTTAAATGTCATCATTAAAGTGAACTACAATGAAATGTTGCCAGAACCAAAGTGACAGGCACACCACACACACATTCGTAGCCGACACGTAGAGCCGTTGGTCCACTCCCAGGAGGACACTGTCATAATGCATAAATATGTCCGGCGAATGGCCTTAATGACCATTGTCCTTAGCATGCATGCCGGACCATTTGGGGTTTGTCACTCACTACGCCCAAAGTCCCGCAGTACAGACCGGTCTTTAAGAACCCCATGTCATCGGCTGATTTTGCCCTGCAATGGTTGTACACTTGGCTGTCTTTGTTGTGTCGTGCAGTGTCTCTGCTGTTCTTCTATTTACCAGAGACAACAAAACAAATCCCAAACCAACTGTTGTCAGCAGTTGTTTCTCTCCCTGTCGGTTATCTCGCTCTCTATCTCTCTCTTTCCCTCTATCTTTTCTTGTTGGTTGCCGTCTATGAAGAGTTACCCACAAAGCCAATGGATGCAAAGTGAAGTGAAGCATGATTAGATACGGAGTGTGGTGTTGGTGGTCGTATTTGCCATGGATTCGAATGTTTGAATCTATGGAAAATGTCAAAATTTGAGTAAACATGATATATGTTGTATTAAAATCCTATTACAATTTATCTTCCTTAATGTAAATTTATATTTGTAGGGTGGGTGTGAGATTCTACACAGCATTAGATAAAGGTGGGGTACAAATTAATAGTATTTCGCACATATAATATTACGTGCACAAATGCATACATACATAGAATATACGAGGAAATAACTGAGTCATCAAAGCTCCAAGGAACGAGTTGAAATGAAGTAGGTTTCTATAACATAGGGTATATAACATTTGATACGGCCAAAGCGTGCCTCATCGAAATAATCATTTAAGGTCCTAGGTCCCTTTCAAGACCGCCCGTTCGTATGTATATATATTTTACTACACAGAAAGAGAAAGGATCATCCAATTTTGCGCAAAATTTGCAAATCCTAATTTTGAAGCATTATAACTCTTGTCCGATTGTCTTCAAATTACACACATCACAATATTTTTATACCCTCTACCATACATAGTATGGAGGGTATATTAAGTTCGTCATTCAGTTTGTAAGTAATCGAAATAATCATTTTAGACCCAACAAAGTATATATGTTCTTGATAAGCGTACAACAATTTTCAGACGAGGTCCGCCGTCTGTTGTAATCACGCTACAGTCTAAACGAATTAAGATAGGAAGCTAAAATTTTGCACAGATATCTTTTTTGTCTGCATGCAGGTCAAGTTTGAAGATGGGCTATATCGGTCCACGATATCGTATAGCCCCATATCACGGTACCCATTATTATGTCATTGTGCATTTGTTTGTAACAGGCAGAAGGAAACGAGATAAACCCATAGTTCCTTTTGATGATCTGCATAGAATGACATTCTGAGTCGATTTATGCATGTCCGTCCGTCCGTCTGTCCGTCTGTCCATGTATTTTTGTAAACAAAGTACAGGTCGCATTTATTACCCGATCCAGATGAAATTTTGCAAAGATCCTTTGTTTGGCCCAAGGACGAACCCTATTGAAATTGGAGCTAATCGGTCAAAATTTAGATATAGCTCCAATGTATATCTTCGTCCGATTTGCTTTTTATTGTGCACCAAACGTGTAATATCAGCCTGAATCGTATGGAATTTTGCATATACATCCATATTAGGCCTGAAAATATGTGTGACAAATTTGATCGAAATCGGTTCAGATATAGCTATAGCTCCCATATATATTGTTCATCCGTTTTATTATTTTTGTCCACCGCCGCCGTAATATGCACTCTGTAACAGCAATATTTGGGGAAATATATCAAATACAGCCCAGAAATACATTTGCTAAATTTTATCGAGATCGGTTCAGATTTGGATATAGCTCCCATATATAACTTCGTCCGATTTACCTTTTATTGTGCACCGAACGTCTAATATTTGTCCAAATGGGATGGAATTTGGCACTTACGATCGAATTGAGTCTAGAAGCTAGTATGTCAAATTTGGTGAAGATCGGTTCAGATATAGCTATTGCTTCCATATATATTATTCATCCGATTTGTTATATTTGTTACCCACAACCGTAATATGCTCTCCGTAACAACGATATTCAGGGAAATATATCAAATGCAGCTCAGACATATCTTTGCCAAATTTTATTGAGACCGGTTCAGATTTGGATATAGCTCCCATATATATTTTTATATGATTTCAAATTAATTTTGCACCAAATGGGCAATACAAGTCCGAATTTAAATGCTTCGGCATATTTAGTCCTTTGAACTTCAAATTATAATTATAATCATGGCGTGTATGATTGAATTATCTCATAAAAACTTTTAATTGTTATGTGGAGCTCTACCAAATAAGCAAAGTGGTGTAGGGTATCAAAAAGTCTGCCCCGACCGACTTTAGGACTTTCTTTACTGGTTTTAATATTTTAATAGATTTTTTAATGGAATTTATTTTTATTTTTGAAAATTTTCTAATTCGTCTCAAATGGTGGGGGTATTCAAAGATCGGCCCGGCCGAATTTATGGCTTTTTTACTTGTATTTTTTTAATTTTATTGAATAAAAGCAAAAAATGTCGGAAATAGCATAAAATTTTATTTCATAATAAATTTAGATTTGTTGGAATTGGTCACCTTTGGCCCGAATTATACCGTCACACGCTTCCCGAATGTTGCGCTGCGGTATTTTGACCCATTCCCGCGAAGCGGGATCGACACTTTGGTATTTTGTAGTGCCAACCTTGCTTCCAAAATACTGCAGACACAATAGTCCAAGGGTATTCAAAGTTCGGCCCGACCGAACTTACAGCTTTTTTACTTGTTTTAGTTTAATTTAATTTTAACCTTTGTTCCAATTTTTTTGTTTTTTATATGTCCAGCCCACATTTTTCTTTTAAATGGGCTACAACTTACTGTTTTAAATTCGTAGCGGATATAGTACTTTTTGCCGAGATATTGATTATTATTTACAGGATTTGGAAAGTTGTTCATGTTATAGAAGTTTTTGAGCCAAACGCTTCGGGCATAACAACGAGCGAACTTAACGTCGCGTTTACTTTTTGAGAATAATATTTCCCCTTTCCATTTTATTTAAGGTTTTTGAATTTACTTAAAAAGGCAACAATTCAAAAATACTTAAACTGACATTGCTGCTTGACGGCAACCCCTTTTTAGAAAATTCCCCTAAAATGAAATGACTCCCAAAGTGAAACGTAGATTTACTTCACATTTATTGCTTTACCTCCAAACACCGACGTCCAAGTTGGCAGCCAGTGGCACCATGGTTGTGTTAACATTCAAGTAGTGTTCGAAGTGTGTTTTCCAGCTGCCAGCCCTGCTCACTTGCAGTGCAGTGTAAAGTTGTCAAAGTGATGGAGTATTGCCGATCCAAAAGTTCATTTGAAAAATTGCTGACTTTAGTGTAAAGTCCAAAAACCCATTGATACATTGGTGTTTTTTGAGTTTTGTTGTTGGTATTGGTGTTTAACTTCCCTGGGGGTTTTCTGTTGGTGACTGAGATTATCCCAATTCCAATGTATTTGTTGTTTCGATTCTTTGATTATTTTCGAAAAATGCTGAACTCCTACCAAAGTGCAAATGTGTGCACTTTTCCACAGAAAACGAAGGAGGAATTTCACAAATTGCCGTAACACAGAATACGGAATGTGAGTGGAAAATAGAAGTCATTAGGGGCATAGGGGTAAACGTAAAAGAAACAAAATTAGTTTGGGGAGTGCCAAATATCCCGAAATTAGTAGGTGGCACGTAATTCCATTTGATTGGCCATTGGTAATTAATGAAAACGTTTGGTGTTCATGGCTATGAAGTGAAGTACCACGGAATGACAATGGGACCATTTTTCAAGGACACAAATGTAGTTCCATTAATTATACCCTACAACACTATGTGTTGGGGGTATTATAAGTTTGATTGGGCCAGAATTTATGTAACACCTCGAAATATTGGTTTCCCATATAGGAAAGTATATATGGATCTTCCTAGCTCGCCGAGCTGAGTCGATCTAGCTATGTATGTCCGTCCGTCCGTCTGTCCGTCTGTCCATGTTAATTTGTAATCACTCTACAGGTCGCAATTATGACCCGATTTTCACGAAATTTAAAATGTAGGTGGGGTTAATGTCAGAATAGAACCCTATTTCTTTTGGAGATGATCGCCAAATGTTTAGGGGTTGAAATGGACCAAACACTGAAAAAATGTCGGATTTTGCAGTAGCTATACAGGTCGCAATTATAGACCAATCGACGGAATTTCGCATGTAGCTAGAGTTTAGGGCGGGGAAGAAGCTTACCAATTTGGGTGGTCATCGGATAATATTTAGCGGGTAAAATAGACCACATATTTTTTGTTGAAAAAATTCAAAATTTTTCATTAAACCGCGAATATTTTAAATCCCGGCGAAAACACAAAGCCATGACAAGGTTACTTCTGATCTTTACATTGATGTTAAGATCCAACAAATCGAATATATAGCAAAATATGTGCGATATATATGTCTATCAAAGAAGATATGCTTGAAAGATCTTTTATATGTCGAGAACGGCTGAACTGATTTCGACAGTTCTCATTAATTCAGAATGGCCTCTTGGCAAGAAAGAAAAAACGTCTAAAAAATCGCATAAAAATATCTCTCTAAAGATGAAAATATTGATTTTCTAACATTTTCTCATATTTTTTCAATTTTGTCACATTTTTGGCATATTTTCATTTTGAATTAAACATTTGGCAATATTTCTAGAGCTAACAAAACTAAGTAGTTATGACATCAGAATATCATATACAGATCGCATTTATGGCCCGATCCTTACGAAATTTTGCATGGGGATAAGATGAGGGTCAGAATTGTAGCCTACTCTTTTTGGAGATGATCGCCATATATTTAGGGGTTGAAATGGATCAAAAAAACTGCAAAATTGTCGGCAGGTCGTAATTATCGCCCGATCATCACGCACATTTGAAAGGGGGACATTGTAAAAGCCAAGCAGTTTTGGATGGCCATCCAAAAATATTCAATGTGTGAAATAGTTTGCCAACTTTTGTAGACAAAATACGAAAATGCCCATTCCAGAGACTTTTTGGAGAATTCACAAATACAGGAAAGACGCACTTCTGACAATTTCGTTAACGAATATAGTCAAATGTCTGCATCTCATATAGATGCGTTTCAGTCAAAAACCAATAATAAATGTTAATCTTTTGCCACTTCTGAGAGATTAAAGGTCTTTGGGAAATATTGGTTCCAGATCTAGGAAGACCATTTAAGTGCAACATCCACCAATAAATTGGAAATGAGCAAATTCGTTTACGTTGCTATTATTCGAAAATTAGAAAACGAAACATGATGGTTTTCTTTTATTATTTGTCACAATATCTTGTGGAATTCTTTCGAGTATCTCGCCTATATAAACTGTATCACCTATTATAGTGTTGTAGGGTATTCAACGGTAGGCCCCGCTCGACTGTAGCCTTTGCTTACTTGTTTTTATTTAAATAGAAAAGTATGTGACAAACGATATGAAGTACAGGTTTTTATACAAAAGTATTGAAATTCAAACGTGTTCCAATTTAAACTACAAACTCTAGTAAGATCGGAAGGATAAAGCATTAAAAGTTTACAAAAAAAACAAAACAAAAAAATAACTTAATCCTTTGTATGAGGGGCATAACAAAACGGGAGCCTATATAGATAGTTTTAAACTACAAAGATTCTAACCGAGTCTTAAATACTAAATTTAACGTGATTTCGAGGGTAAATGTGACTTGGATTAACAAAATACCTAATATCGATGGGTATCGTTGTATGGAAACCATTGACCAATATGGACATAGTTTTGACACCCATTATAAAGTGCGCTATAGGAAAATGTGGAACTATATTTTCAATACTCTACCGCTGGAACTAGTACCCATAACGAACTACAAATACCAATTTTTAGACAAATCCGTGGAAAAATGTGGCAAAATACCGAATATCGGAAGGTATCCTTATAATGGGGCTATACGTGTAAAAGGTGTACCTGTACATGCAATTATGATTTATAAATAACAATTTTTAGACAAATTCGTGAAAAAATTTAGCAAAAATCATCAAAACACCGAATATCGGGAAGTACCGTTATATGCGGGCTATGTCAAAAGGTGGACCGATGTAATGCCAAAATGTCAAATAAAGTTGGCTGTATCGTAATTTCAACAGACAGACGGACATCGTTAAATCGACCTAGAACTTTAACTGAACTGATCATGAATATAAATATTTTATGGGATCTACTACGAATATTTACGGATGTTACAAACCAAATTTCAAAGATACAAGGTGAGATAAAAAACTGCAACAAAGTCAAAAGCCATAATTGTACTTTTTCTTAAATTTTATTGAATGAAAGCAAAAAAATGCCGGATATAGCATCAAATTTAAGTTTAGATTTGTTCGAATTGGTCACCTTTGGCACGAATTATGGCTTTCAAACGACCAATGAAACCGTCACACGCTACCCTAATTCTGCTCTACGGTAGTTTGGCCCATTCCCGACGAAGCGCTTGTTTCAGGTGATGAGTGCGATGGTTCTGAGTCCTGTTGGAATGTCTAAGGTGTGCGGCTAAATATGTTTGTGTGCCCAAGGCTTTAATACTGCCTCCAGATTATTTTCGCGATAATATTCGACATTCGAGTCGATTGATACGAGCGGAGAGCGACCATCGGCTGTTATGGCGGCCCACATCATCATCATGGCCGGCGCTTGAGTTCTGGTGGCCAACCGAAGGTGCACATTTTCAGCTCACCTTTTTGGCAAGAAAACACGATCATTTTGTTTGTTTACTTTCGCCCAAGCGAAGCAATCCTTCAGCTCTTTTGAGTCTATTTTCTTTCTGTTGCGGCATAAGTTCTTGCACTTTTTGAAATTTCAATGGCTTTAATCTGAGTTAATTTTTCAATATATGTCGGTATCACGGTAACGAGCGATGGCACGAGACACAAAATGCTTATTCACATTTAAATGCTGGAGAGCTCTAACGATAGCCACTTGTGGTTTTCTAACCAAATTTAAAGAAATCAAACTATCGCGCTTGAATTCCATCACGAATAACTTTTTTTCTGGAAAATTCTCACCAAAATGCTTTTGTAGGCTTGTAAACAATATAATGAGCTGTCACTGGAATAATTTTAACAGCTGTCAGACGAGTCTGAAGATGGTTGCATTTTTTTCATTTCCAGGTGGAGGGTATAAAAATGAGCGATATGAGGTTTGATAGAAAACTGCTAAAATTCTTTAAATTCTTGAAGGGGCGCTTAAAAAGTTCTTTGTTGTTGAACACAAAATAATATTATAATTGCTTACAGAAATTCGTGGTATTTCAATACTATTAAAAAATATGAAGTCGATGCATGGCTACAGGCCTGTCGTAGGCAAGATATGCGGAAATATGAGTACTGCTACGCAATAATATAATATTCAGATCTGCCAAAACAAGAAACCTTCAGACCTGAATGCTTCAGACCAATTGACTCCTATCCTTTTTGGTCGAAATTTTTTTTTTATTTTATCCACACATAGCTCGATTTTGTATGTATACTGTAAAAAATAAAAAAATCAAATCTCGAGTATTCTTAATTAAATATTTCTAAATTTTTGAGTTATACTCTATTTAAACCGTAAACACTTTGTACGATTTCATTTAAAATGAAACAAAAGACGTTTTTCAAAATTTTTATTGGAAATCTTAGTTTGAGGGATGAGTCAAACCTTTTCTCTTAAATCTTTCTCCATCAAACTTGACAATCATAACAATATTATGTGTAGATTGACAAAATGATAATATTTTTAAAGATTCAAGGAAAGGAAGATTTAATAATACAATTTCGGGAATGGCCTTATCCAGGTCAATACTGTACTCAATTGGATGGTCATAGCATCTACGAATTCAGATTTTGCAGTTTTTACCAACCTGTCAAAAATCTTTACCCAAAGTTTGCCTACTTTTTCATGTATCCTTAATCAATGAAGATAATTTAAACATTTTTGCCTTTTCTAAAAAGTTACAACTTTTTTGATATACTATACAAATTATTAATTAACTTAAACTCTATAAAAACAACAAACAGTTACATCCACAGTTTTCCCATTTCCCTTTTCCTTTCCATTGTATTTTTTTTTTTTTGTATTTTACAAACTAACTTAATTAATTTAATTAATTAACTCTGAATAACCTTCCATTTCTTCCACACTTCTAGACCTTTAACTCCATTTGCATAGTGGAAACTTTTCTCCAAACCTTTTTTTTAACATCAACATCTACTTCTTGTCCCTGTCATTGCAGATATCCCCGCAATCGTTCCGGCACATCATCAACGCCGACCCAACAGCATCATCAACAGCAGACATCCTCCCATCATTTACAACACTCTGCCTCGATGTCGTCACACACTACAACAACACATCAGCATCCGAATCAGCAACAGCAACAGAACCAACAACACTCCTCGCAACATCACATGCAACGTTCCTCAATGTCACAGCCACAACAACTGCCGCTGCACAAAAAGCAACCACATCGCACACCATCGCAACGCCTGCGTGCCGTTACGGCGGCCCGAAAATTCCACTTCGTCTTCGATCCGGCGGGGCGTCTCTGCTACTACTGGTCCATGGTGGTCTCGCTGGCGTTCCTCTACAACTTCTGGGTGATCATATATCGATTCGCCTTCCAGGAGATCAATCGCCGGACCATCGTTGTGTGGTTCTGTCTCGACTACTTTTCAGATCTGCTGTATCTCATCGATATTTTCTTTCACTTTCGCACCGGCTATCTGGAGGACGGTGTCCTGCAGACTGATGCCTCGAAGCTGAGGCAACACTACATGAACTCGACGATATTCTACATAGACTGCCTGTGTTTGCTGCCATTGGATTTTTTATACTTATCAATAGGATTTAATTCAATATTACGCTCGTTTCGTTTAGTCAAGATCTATCGGTTCTGGGCATTCATGGATCGCACCGAACGCCACACGAATTACCCGAATCTGTTTCGGTCGCTGGCGCTCATACACTACCTGCTTGTGATATTCCATTGGAACGGGTGTCTCTATCACATCATCCACAAGAACAATGGGTTCGGTTCGCGCAACTGGGTTTACCACGACTCCGAGTCGGCCGATGTAGTTAAACAATATTTACAGAGTTATTATTGGTGTACGTTAGCTTTAACAACGATCGGTGATTTGCCGAAACCACGATCGAAGGGTGAATATGTATTTGTGATATTGCAGCTGCTATTTGGATTGATGCTATTTGCCACGGTGCTGGGGCATGTGGCGAACATTGTGACGTCGGTGAGTGCGGCACGCAAAGAATTTCAGGGTAAGTCAAAAAAAATCTAAGGAATATAAAAATTTAATAAAACCCCTATTGAACGGATTTGTGGTCGCCGAATGTAACTTATAATTGTAAAAAATCAAATTTATTGAATAAATAAAGTTATGTCATGCAGTACTTTAACAATATCTCCATCTCCTCTCACAAAAAAAAAGAGAAAATCGTTAAGTTAGGACTATATTTTCCTATTTGCATTCATAAATATTTACACTTTTCAATTTCAACAAACTTAACCTCTTTCTTTGCTCTGCACACAACAAGATTGAGCCAATATCCATATATTTGTTTTCTATATAGAAAGTGTGGATGTTTGTGTGTATCTGGAATATCTGCAAACATTGCTGCAACAGCAACAGCAGAAAGAAATCATTGACATAGCATTATAGAGATAAATGTTCGTACTTATGTTACAGTTTCCAACGAGTAGTTGTAAGTTCATTCATCTATTTTTCTGTTACACGTCTAGTTGTCCATAGCATCAGTAATGTTTACATGGAAGGATACACATGTGGAAACTGTGAATATTTATGTTAATAATCCATTTGGAATTTCCCAAGTAGGAAGTAGTCATGTACACAGAGGTTTCACACATTGGGTGATTGACTTAAACAATTTTTGCACATTTCATTTGTAAAGGAGGTCCACTATGCATAGCACATCTTCTGTAATTACAGGGTGAGATAAAAAACTGTAACAAAGTCAAACGCCATCATTTTTAATTTTTTTTCTAAATTTTATTGAATGAAAGCAAAAATGTCGGAAATAGCATCAAATTTTTTAAATAAGTTTAGATTTGTTCGAAATGGTCACCATTGGCACGAACTATGACCTTGAAACGGCCAAGAAAACCGTCACACACTGCCCGAATGTTGCTCTACGGTATTTTGGCCCATTTCCGGCCAAGCACTTGCTTGACGTTATCGAAACTTTGGTAGTTTTTACTGCCAACCTTGCTTTCCAAAATACTACAGACACAATAGTCCAACGGATTGGTATTCGGAGATATTTGGTAGCCATTATGCGCTAGAAATAAAGCGAGGAACGGCATTTTGTAACCATTCTTGGGTGGCGCGTGCTGACTGCGATGGTGCTTAGTCCTGTTGGAATGTCCAAGGTATACGGCCAAAATGTTTGCGTGCCCAAGACTTTAATATGTTCTAACACTTTTTGGTATTTCAATGGCTTTACCCCGAGCTCATTTGTTAATATTTGCCGAATGGAATATTGCGATATGTTCAGCCCAAGAGCCACGGCCACTGTACATTTTTCGGTAACGAGCGTAGGTAGGAGATACAAAAGATTTATTCACATTTAAATGCCGAAGTTCTCTAACGATAGCCACTTGTCGTTTTCCAGACAATTCCAACATGAATAACTTTTTCCTGGACTTTTTTTTCTGTCGGACGAGTGCCTTAGGAATGACAGCAGTCTGAAGTTGGTTGCAGTTTTTTCATCTCAAACTATATACCCTCATCCTTATGGCTATAGAGGGTATGTATATCATTTGATACGGCCAAAACGTGCTTCATTGAATTAACCGCTTTAGACTCTAGGTCTCTTTGGAGTCGTTTCAGACCATTCTGTTCTGACTGGCGGGTGCGCACGATAATTCTCGATTTGGTCCAAACTTGATACATATTCTTGTCAAACTTAGATTGAGTTCAGAGATGGGCAACATCGCTCCACTCCGTCTGGTATCTCCCCAACAACGGGTCAAAATCTTCACAGAAAATAATTAAGCGAAAGGATAATTCGATTTTGTAAAAACTTGGCCCATCCTAATATTTATATCGGTGACAAATATAGTGCGAGAATGGACAATGTCGGACCACCCCATCAGGTACTATTGGTTCAATAAAATGATAAATAACTATAAATCTTATAAAATGTGAAATAAATGCCCGATTCCCTTCAAATTTGACACATCTCAATATTTATACAAACACAAGATCTGATATGAAAATGGAATATATTTGTTCACTTCTACTGATACCTCCCCCACAACGGGTTAAAATTTTGAATAATCATAAAGATCATAAAATTAGCAATGAGCTACCGATTCCCCTCCAAGCTCAGCATATCTCAATATTTCTATCCGCACATAATCTGGTATGAAGATGGAATTTATCGGTCCACTTCTTCTCCTTCGAAATAGGCATTCAATTATCTTCAAATATCGCACTTATACTTATAATTCTTATATTTCTACTATTGCATGATTTGATACGAAGATGATAGATATCGACCCTCTTTAATTACGTCATATCCCAAACAATATCAGATGAAGTGGAATACCGTGCTTCACTATATCTAGTACCTCGCGGACATTCCAACATTTCTCATCCAAATCGATTTTATATAGTCCAACGTCTGACCGTTGTAATATTTATATGGGTCAGATACGAAATGGACAATATTGGCCGACTCTTTTGAAACCTCCCTCAACGAATATGCGCTAAGGGTTTACATCTGTTGTTTTTTTTTTTTTTTTAACATTTAAGAGTTTACAAATGTTATGTGAAACGTATTTTATATATGGCAGGCGGTTGAAAGATTATTTATGCACAGCAGTTTGTTAGAAGTCACTTATTCCAAACCACACTTTTAGTAGAAGAGCTCCTAAGGTTCTTCCATAGGAGAGCTTCATAGGGTCACATAAAAATGAGCATCCTATAGTTATCTATATGTAGAAAACACACCAACAGCCTCCAGGAGTTTTCGTCCAAAGCTGCTCTAAATATAAAAAAAAATTCCCAAAGCTTTCCGAAAAGGCCAAACAAACGCTATATATGTTATTCCATACAGAACGAAGCCTCTACAGATATTTTGTACATAATTGCCTTTCCAAAGGACTTATCTATACTAAAAAAAGAGTAAAGTAATTGACTGTCTGACATTAACGCCCAGTCGAAGCTAGAATCTTGAAATTTTGGGTTAGGATCACTTTTTGTCCGAAGAGATCAGATAAGGCTGGGTACTGCATTTGGTACAATTTTATATCATGTGAACGGGTAGAGCTAAAAACTTGAAATTTGGGATGGGAATAAAGATTGAGGAGTGAAGTCGTTATAAAGGGGTATTTTCGGAAATGTGTACTCATGTATACGAAAAATACAAAACGGTAATGGAATCCTGAAATTTGAAATTTAAAATACTAGCGGAGTGTAGGATGGGAGTGCGGAGGAAGTTTTTAAAAATTTGTACTTATATATGCGACTAAATATTACGACGTTTGGCATTGGTTGAACACGTTTGGCACTGAAATATGAAAATTGGCATAGGCATTTATTTCTACCCTGCACACCTAGAAGTGATTGCGGAAATGTGTCCATTAATTATACCCTACAACACTATGTGTTGGGGGTATTATAAGTTTGACTGGGCCAGAATTTATGTAACACCTCGAAATATTGATTTCCCACATAGGAAAGTATATATGGATCTTCCTAGCTCGCCGAGCTGAGTCGATCTAGCTATGTATGTCCGTCCGTCCGTCTGTCCGTCTGTCCATGTTAATTTGTAATCACTCTACAGGTCGCAATTATGGTCCGATCTTCACGAAATTTAGAATGTAGGTGGGGCTTGGACCAGAATAGAACCCTATTGCTTTTGGAGATGATCGCCAAATGTTTAGGGGTTGAAATGGACCAAATACTGAAAAAATGTTGGATTTTGCAGTAGCTATACAGGTCGCAATTATAGATCAATCGACGCGGAATTTCGCATGTAGCTGGAGTTTAGGGAGGGGAAAAAGCCTACCAATTTGGGTGGTCATCGGATAATATTTAGCGGGTAAAATAGACCATATCTTTTGTGTTGAAAAAATTCAAAATTTTTCATTAAACCGCGAATATTTTAATTCCCGGCGAAATCATAAAGCCATGACAAGGTTACTTCTGATCTTTACATTGATGTTAACATCCAACAAATCGGATATATGGCGATATATATGTCTATCAAAGAAGATATGCTTGAAAGATCTCTTATATGTCGAGAACGGCTGAACTGATTTCGACAGTTCTCATTAATTCAGAATGGCCTCTTGGCAGGAAACAAAAAACGTCTAAAAAAATCGCATAAAAATATGAAAATATTGATTTTGTAATATTTTCTCATATTTTTTTTAATTTTGTCATATTTTTGGCATATTTTCATTTTGAATTAAACATTTGGTAATATTTAGTCAAATGTCTGTATCTCATATAGATGCGTTTCAGTCAAAAACCAATAATAAATGTTAATCTTTTGCCACTTCTGAGAGATTATAAGTCTTTGGGAAATATTGGTTCCAGATCTAGGAAGACCATTTAAGTGCAACATCTACCAATAAATTGGAAATGAGCAAATTAATTTAAGTTGCTATTATTCGAAAAATAGAGAACGAAACCTGATGGTTGTCTTTAATTACTTGTCACAATATCTTGTGGAATTCTGTCGAGTACTTCGCCTATATAAACTGTATGGTTTATTATAGTGTTGTAGGGTATTCAACGGTCGGCCCCGCTCGTCTGTAGCCTTTGCTTACTTGTTTTACATAAAGTACTGAACGATACTACATTTGGTATTGAGTGAAGGGTTAGAGAAACAAAATACAGAAATTTGATATTTATGTTTGAGATTTGACGGTGGCTAGGAAATTTGTCCTGAATTTCTACGAAAATACTAAATGATACTAAATTTGGTATTCGATGAAAGGATTTGGCTGGAATTTTTATATTTGATAAAGATATAAGTACTTTACAAAAAGTACTAAATGGTACAAAATTTCGTATTGAGTAAAGGATAGGGCTGGAATTCTCAAATTTGATATTGAGGTCTCTCTTGGCATGTGGTGTTAAGATATAAGAGTAGGTTTGGAACTGTGTACTCTTCGTTTGAAGAAGGTTTCAGCTCCATTAGCTGGACAGAAGTGTATGGCTATAGAGCGAGGGAAGTCCGCGATCTTATTTTAATAGAGCCGCTTTGCAGAGACTTCCGGTTGATTT